ACACCGCCAAGGTAGCGACAGCCCTCCCCTTGTCGAAAAGCTCCTGTAGGAATCCCAGGACCCCCTCCAGCGGGCAAAACCTGGGATCCCAGGAACGGGAATCGCACCAGGCACTGAATAGCCTCCACCTCGTGGCGTAGGCCCTCACGGTGGACGGCGCCCTCGCTCCCTGAATTGTCTCCACCACCGCAGGGGGAAGACCCAGATCTACGAGGCTCCGCCTCTCAACCTCCAAACCCAGAGCCTGCGGCCGATTATCGGACGTGAAAACAGGGCTCCTGCCCCCTGGACTAGAGCCCCCGGCTCGTCCGGGAGGGCCCAGGGCTCCATCACCGCCATGCCCCTCAGGAAGGGGAACCACCGGGCATGCGGGCTGTCCGGAGCCACCAGAATCACCGACCTCCTCTCCTGTTCGATCCTCCGCAGTAGGACCGGCAGGAGACGCACCGGTGGAAAGCGTACAACAGGCCGCCTGGCCATGGGTAATGAGCCAGAGCGTCCACGCCTAAAGGCGGCTCGTCCGCGGCCCTTAAGGCGAACCAGGACGGGCACTGTGCGTTCTCTGCACTGGCGAAAAGGTCGACTACTGGACGACCGAACCTCCGCCAGATCTCCGCGGCTACCCGTGGGGCCAGGCCCCACTCGTCCTGGAGTGGGCCCCCCCTGGACATCCTGTCGGCTCCCACGTTCCGGACCCCCGGGACGTGGCGCGCCCTGAGAGACAGGAGGTGAAGCGCCGCCCACAGCAGCGTCACCGTCGCCATGCGATGGAGAGCGGGGGACCTGGTGCCCCCCTGCCTGTTCAGATAGGAGACCACTGTGGTGTTGTCTGAGCGCACCATCACGTGTCTCCCCTGCAGCTGAGGGGCAAAGTGCAGCAGTACTCTGTGCACTGCCTCCATCTCCAGCAGGTTGATGTGACGGGCTGAGTCCGACCAGCAGCCTCCTACAGAGCTCTGGCCGAGGACCCCGCCCCATCCTTCGAGCGACGCGTCCGTGAACACCTCGGCGTGAGACACAGCGCAGGCCAGAGTCACTCCGTCCCGCAGTAGACCCGGAGTGAGCCAGAACCTGATGTCCGATGCTGCCCCTTGGGGAACCCAGATCAGCCTCCCCCCGTCCCGGGAGGGGTGAAGCCTGAGGCGCGAGAACCACCTCTGAAAATTTCTCATGTGGAGCAGGCCTAGCCGCACCACAGCATGAGCCGCTGCCATCATCCCCCAGCAGGGACCTGAGGCGCCGAGCGGGAACTCTGGGGCCCGCCAGAACCTCCCGGGCCAGACGGGTAATATTCGTCCGTCTGTCCACGGACAATGCAGCACGGAATATCACAGAGTCTAGCTGCAGACCGAGGTACAGTAAATCATGCGTTGGGCTGGCTGCAGCTTGCTCTTCTCCCTGTTCACCACAAAGCCCAGACGCTGTATGTGGGACAAGACCCATTGCGTGTGGCTCACGGCCACTTCCCTGGATGGGGCCAGTATTAACCAATCGTCTATATAGGTCAATATTCTTACCCCGGCACGTCTGATCGGCTCCAGAGCCGCTTCCACACATTTGGAAAAAGTGCGAGGCGCGAGAGCGTCCCCGAAAGGGAGACGGCAGTACTCGTAATTCCTCTCTCCCACTGCGAAGCGCAGAAATCTCCTGTGTTCTGGCACTATGGGTACGTGGAAGTATGCGTCTGTCAGGTCTATGGATGTCATCCAGTCTCCTTCCCTGACACACTCGAGGAGCTGCCTTGTGGACAGCATCCGAAACTGCCGTTTGGAAATGCACTCGTTTAACCCGCGCAGATCCAGAATGGGACGCACCCCGCCTGATTTCTTTGGCACCAGAAAGTAAGGGGAGTACAGCCCCCTGGTGGCGTCCTGCGGGTCTACCTCCACTGCTGCGCCTCGACTCAGCAGGGAGGAGACCTCTGCTTCCAGTGCCTCTGTCGATCCCCGTACCTGAGAGCGTACTGCCCGTACGCCTCGGAATGGTGGTGGCTTTCGGAAAAATTGCAGAGCGTAACCTCTGCGCAGAGTTTTCTCCAGCCAAACATCTGACAGTAAGCCCTGCTCCTTCCAGATGTCGTAGAAATCTGTGAGGGGCGGAACGGGAGCTGGAACACGAGACGTCATGGCCCCGCCCCCTCCTGGTGTTCCTAGCAGGGAGGGGGGGTGGCTGAAAGGGCCGGGGGGGCCCCTGCGTCACACCGTGAGCGCCGAGGGCGGTCACGTGTTCTGCAGGTCCGACGTCATAAGTACGGGACTGCTCACCACACGTGACCCGGCTGCTGCTGCGCCCCCCCCTGGCTCTTGCCTCATGGAGGGGGGGGCGAGCCCCTGCATCGGGAAACCCCGTGTTAGCATTGTAGCTCTGCTCATCACGCGTGACACGGCTGCTGCGCCCCCCCTTGGCTCTTGCCTCATGGAGGGGGGGAAGAGCCCCTGGATTAGGAAACCCCCGTGTTAGCAATGTAGCTCTGCTCATCACGCGTGACACGGCTGCTGCGCCCCCCCTTGGCTCTTGCCTCATGGAGGGGGGGGAGAGCCCCTGGATTGGGAAACCCCGTGTTAGCCTTGTAGCTCAGAGATGCTAACACGCTAGCGCCCGGAGCACACACATTAGCACTTATCAGATCTCTCCGCCTGCCCTCTCTCCGGGAGGGCAAAACATGAACCCGTGAATCGGAGCTCGTGGTCTGCACAGCGCGCTGCACGCCCTTCTCTGGGGGCTGCAGGCCTGGCGGAGCCACGTTATATGCTCGAGAAGTAACACAAACAGAATTCAAATCATTTGACATGTTACATACCCCCAAATGAGACTCAGACAGCGAGTACTGGTGAAATGCCGGACGGCCTTTATTGAAAGAGTTTTTACCACCCCGACCTCCTCTACCGTAGGGAGGCCGTCGATGGGTGTGTTGGTCCCGCGAACCTCCCGTGTGCCTGTCTGGGCCCGGGGGTCTCGCCGCTGGGGAACGATGGACCACGGAGCGTGGATATGGTCCGGGGCGCTTGCCAGGCGAGCGCTCCCTGCCTCTGTCTCGGCTCCGCGCTGGTGGGCGGGCCTCGCGTCTCGTAGCTAGGTGTTTTGCTAGGCTAGCCGAGTCCTTAGCCGCGCTGTCCAGCCTCGTCATCAGCGTCTGCATCTCCGGACCGAAGAGCGACGTCTGGGAGATGGGCAGGTCCAGCAGCTGCCTCTTCTCCGCCTCTCTGAGGTTCACCGCCCCCAGCCAGAGGTGTCTGGCCCCGACCTGGGCTGCTGCCATAGAGCGGCCGCCATCGACAGCTAGCGCTTGGCACATGCGCAAGATCGCTGCTGAAGTGGTCCTCGCCTGGGCTAAGGTGTCTCCACTGAGTGCCTGGTCAGAGGAGAGAGACCTATCCAGGGCCCCGGTGATGAAAGCCATGTTGTTCGCCACCGCGACGACCTGAGCCGCATTGGCGTAACATCTGTCATGCATAGCCAGAGACATCCTATCCCGCTCGGAGGGAAGGAGAGGTCTGGTGCTGGGCCACACGGATGAGGAGGGGTGCAGGGCCGCCCGAACCGAGTCCTCGATGTCCGGGACCCCGCCTGTCCAGGACCAGTCCTGCACGTTGCAGTACATGCCATACCCCAAAGCGGGCCTCTTGGCCGCTAGGGGTTTTGGCCACTCACGTGTCGCGTAATGGACGATCGGGTCCATACGCGGGCACAACGTGGGCTGGGCTCTCCTCCTCCCTCGAGGGGCTGCGTACCCAGAGGTGAAGTCCTCCACCCTCTGGTTCGGTTGCGGTGGCAGGGGGGCCATCCATGATGGCCGCCGCCGTGGCGTAGAGCCCAGGCATGTGGTCCAGCGGGAAGCGGTCCGGCTCCGGGTTGGACACCACCTCGTCCAGCGTGAGGAGAGAGCCGACCTCCGACACCTCTCCGTCCTCGCAGTCACCCCACTCCGCGGGCACAGGTGGAATGTCGAGGGGGGCCCAGTCAATCTCAGACTCCTCGTCCTTAGAGGAGTCCGGACGGGGCGCTGTAGCGGCGAAGAACGCGCGCCTGCGTTCACTCTCCTCCCTGGGGGAGAGCGACACACGAGGCGCAGGTGGCGCTCAACGCCGCATGGCCCGCACCCAGGCACATGAAGCAGCTGGAGTGCTGGTCCTTGCGTTGGAGCTTGCCCCGACAGGTCGAGCAACGACGACGTCCGACGCCGGATGGCGAAGGGGAACTCGGACGTGCATCAGAAGACATCTTTCTTTCTCAGGTAACGAATGTAGATCTCAAACGGCGCCAGAGTGAAAGAGGGGGTGCGGCCTTGTGCAGGGGCATTTATAGAGGAAGGTGGCTGGTGATTGGAGCAAATTATTTTGATCTCTCTGGCGTCTGTGACCTGGGGGTCACGTGATATCCCACTAGCGAAGTCCTAAGGGACGTAGCACCATGACGTAGAATATAAAATATCCTTTCGTTCTTTTAAATTAAAAAAAGAAAGGGAGAAAACGTTGATACATTTATTATTTCGTTGAAACCCAGTGTGAGGAGGGAAAAGTTCTAGTAATGACAGTGTGATTACAGTACATAATACTTTTTGTGAAATTTAGCAAAGTATAGATTTTTAATATTGAAGTTGGTCAAATGTCACTAAGCACACCGCTCATAGATTGGTCCATGTTGGTGTTTCTTAATTCTGAACCAGACCTAACTCTAGAACATGCCCGGTATGAGTCTGGTGAATGGGTAAATAGTTATGGTCGAAGGAGCTGATAGCGCGGATCAGAAGCCTCGCTGCCGTCATTCTTCCACAGGGCAGCTGTGGCTCCAACAGTGGTTTACCACCACAGCATCATTATTTGAGTTAATAATGCCAAGTGAAGCTTAATTTATTATTTATTTATTTATATGCACGTGTAGGTTTTAAAAGACGAGTCTTTTGCTAGCAATCATTCGAGATTGTTTTGTTGTTTCCCTGTTGTTCCTCGTTCATCATTTGTTTATACTAAAAAGTGTTCAGGGCAGTCCTTGAACGCAGCATGAGGGCGGCCCCTCAGTTCCCATGTTTCTCACGCCCTGAGTTCAGATTTTCCAGTGAACTGCGAATCCTGAGGACGGAAAGCATCCCGACGTTACAAAGTACACTTTGTACAAGGTAAGAGGGCAGCTAATATTAAGACATTCTGTGAAGAAAGTGGACTCTCTGCTGTGAACGAGCTTACGGACATGTGTTGTCAGTGTTGCGAGGATCGCCCACGCAGTTGTTTGGAGTTTGTAACCCTGTACATCTGTCTAAGCTTCCGTGAGATAAACACATCGAATCGAAAGCTGATATATATGGGTCTATAGTTTCCTTTTTTGGGGGGATTTGTGGAGGATCACGGGTTTTGACATTTTGAACCACAAACTTGCGTGACTCATGTGCACTTTGGCGCATTCACCAAGAGACGATACTTGCATGAAACGCGACAGGCTCAGCCTGTTTGTCCAGTGCATGAACATATTTATGACTCTCCGGGCTTTAAGACCATAGATCTATGATAATGTTTAAGACTATGGCCCGCAGTTCAATAATCAAGCCACTACTGTCCTTCAACTTGGCTCTGAATAATCACAAATACATTTGTTCTATATCCGATAACCGCGCCTTCTACTATGATTCAACAAGTTTCTGTTTTACTGGAATTCTGATTCATATAAGGTAATGTCAGCCTTTTTAGACACCCTTTTGATCATGTATGTGACAACTATAATTTACAATCTTTGTTAAGGACATTCTATTTAAGAACTCATTCATTACGCTTTTTATATGATCAAATCCAGATTTATTTGGGAACTTAATCATTGTTATTAAATCCAGTACATGATTGACGGAAGACAAAATCATGATAGTGATAACTGAGCATTTAGCCCTCAGATAAATTCATTTTTTGAGATAAACCTTGTTTCCGGGCACAGTTCCCAGCACACTGAGGCCAAAAGACCTCCAGCATTTCCTGGGTCTTCCTCCTACTGATGGGACATGCTCAAAATATCTCCCTATTACAGGAGGAAGCTACCTCAACGGTTCCACTTGACGTGGAGGAGCAGTGGCTCTACTACAAACTCCCTGTGAAGGAAACTTTTTTTCAACTGCAATCAGCAATCTTATCTCTGTGGTCATTACCAAATTTCATAATCCTAGGTGAGCGTAGAAATTAATCATGGATGCATTATCCATCTTCTCCACACCAGAGCGAGACATTGGCCTCACTGCAGTGCTGACACTTCTACGTGAACCACATTCTGAGATACTTGCATTCCTCTACTTGGGGAGGCCATGTTCTGTTTTCTAAAACATGATTATTGTTTTTGCCCATTTTGAGGCTTTGTACTTTTATATTTACGCCTTTTCATCTATAATTCAGAGATGGACAGTTTGCTGAAAATGGAGTACGCATGTCAACACAATTGTTTGTGTGACACACACACATAAATGTTATATATATATATATATATATATATATATATATATGTGTTTGTGTACGTGTATATATATATATATGTTTTTGTTTTGCTTATTTTCTGCTATCTACTTGAGCAGAAACTCGCTGTTGAGCACAGTGTGTTATTATTCTTTTCCTGGAATACTTTATCCATGTTTTGTTTTTCTATCACTGTAAATCCTTTGGGGAGAGAGTCTGCAGGAGCACTTCCTTTTTCGTTCCAGGAAGTCCCTATATGGACACTTTGTTGAAGTCAGGCATTTTATCTTGATTACGCAAGTAGCAGTACCTTGATCCTGATGATCACTTCTGCATGTTGTCGCTTCAAACTATAGACTTATGTAGTAATGTCCTTTTCCCTAAGCGACAATCACAACTGTTAGTTTTCTTACTGCTGGCCATCACAAGCCAGGCTGATGTTGCTAGGTGCCACTTCTTAAGACGGGATCATTGTTGGTTTTGTACTTTTGACCATCAGCTGCCCAAACGTGGCTACTTAATGTTTTCCCACAGGCTTTTGTTCAAAAGTCTGTTGTAAAATCCTGATTAGCTTCTTACCTAAGCTGTCTCATGACCAATTCATTCTTTTTATTTGGTGAATGTTATGTAATATTAAATCTTTGTAAATATCTCCACAGACTACACCAATGTCGACAAATTGGACTCACTGAAATTCTCACAAACAAGTCTTGATACTGGGGTGGTCAGGGACGATGAGCAGACTTCTATGCCACGCTGTTTTCTTGTCCTGTTTTCTCTCAGCTGCTGTGATAAATTGGTCCAGGGGAGTCTCTGTGGCTCTGTCCTATTTCAGGATCCTGTTTGGATCCTACTGCTCCGGCCTTCATCCACTGCTCTCATTTTCATTGTCCACAACCTTGAAAAGTTAGAATTATGTGTTGGGGACCAAAAGTTACATGCTCTGTATTTTGTTTTTAAAATATAAAAACACAAAAAATCCTCTGCAAGAAATGTGTGGGTCTCAAACTTTTGAAATGGTAATAGCTATTTTAAAACCACAAATGGTACTTAATAAAAAAAAATAAAAAAACACATTTAATAAAATCCTGCTCTTTTGTAGTTAAGGGGCCCACAGGTAAATTTGTTTGCAGGAGAAACAGCAGAACTAATAAAAATGAAATGCACATAATATAATGAACCTCAATCAAGAAGAAAGTTTATTTTAGCACAGTAGCACTGATGTAATGCCACATAATGTTGTGTACATTAATCAATGTCAAATTTGATTTAAAACACAACAAAGAATCTTGAGACATCATTTATTATTTCCTTCCCTAACATGACCAATGAATGGACTAAATGCTCTGAACATGCTTGTTCAGTGTTGAGGAGGAGCAAATGTTTGGAGGGACAGCTTGTGTTGGAAAGTGGGTGTCACATTCCTCAGTTTGACTCGGGGCCACTGCGCTGTGTTTGAGAGACCACTGACCCGACATTAATCATCATCTGGAATGTCTCTAGGGCTTTGCACTCAATCAGCTCCACAGGTCAAACCAGTGTGTGTCATTTCCTATCGCTGACTACCTTTAGTATGCAAGAATGCAGATTACACTGTCATCCCATACACTCGGCAGGTGTTTTTGTTTCTTCTGTCACGCTAGGGGTTGTCAAAATTATTGTAAATCTGAATCAGAATCAATGATAAAAAGGCATCAACAGTACATATTAGTTTCCTTTTAATTGAATTAAAGTCTTGAAGCAACATAGCCGGACAATTATGCGTTCAAACTGTATTGTATAATTTTTGTTTATCAAAATATTTTTTTTCAAAAGTGATTATCACAACATGTGTTGTTTTCATGTTAAACAGGCAGGAGTTGGAGATACAGGTCCACTGAAATCAATAATAATAGATATACATGTTTGTACAAAACATTTGGTGAAGTATTTGTGGGAAGCCAGGTTACTGCGTAGAAAGTGTCCTAGATTCAGGAACTTGTGTACCACTTCTGCTACTGTGGTGTCCAAAGCACTAAACCACTAATGTAATGACACTATGAGGAAGACAAATAAAATCATGTTTATTTATGGGGCACAGTTAAACAGCCAAACACTACAGTATGATGATATAAACCGTCTGTGACAGTGAGAGAACCTTCACTTCTAGCGCTGCACATAGTATCTGGCTGTTCATACTGTGTGTGTGGACTCCTACAACCTCTCTGAGGAATGTGTTTGTGAAGGTTTTTGGCTGACTATTCTAAATTGATAGTTAAGGGGACTGAGTTGAAGGGTAAAGCTCACAATTTACCAGTCAATCGACGTTCCCACCCTCATTTATTCATGAGCTTTGTGTCATGAACTAACGGAGAAGATTGAAGTTACGTGCTTGGTGTAGAGCCGCTGCTTCTACACAATGAGAGGAGCAAGTTCAGGTGGCTCAAGTGTTCTGGGCACGAGGAGCACACAACACAAGATAAGGATATGAAGTATAGCACTGCTCTATACTTAATATACCTCTAGACCAGGGCGTAAACCGGTTGTCAAAGAGCCAGTGTGGCTGTAGGGCTAGTTCCATCCTGAGCAGGAGGAATCTGTTGTGCTCCTGCTCAGGTTGGAACTAAAACTTGCAAACATACCGGTCCTTTTTGGAACCGGTTTGACACCCCTGCAAAGTGACAGTGGACATGTGTGGTTCCTTACTGCACATTCTTATTTGTTTACAGAGCAGAGATATTGATTATAGGCTAATTCACAAGGCTGGTGTGTTATCTGTGTCCTCCGGGGCTGTGTTGTTCCACCAGTTGTCCCTCTTCACAAGAACCAGGCCCATGTGAAAATGGCTTATGTCTCTCAGCTGGCCTGGGAACACCCTGGGATTCTCCCGAACGAGCTGTAGGAAATGTGTGTGGAAAGGGAACTCTCTTTTTCATAAGTTGGACTGCGGCGCTTGTGCCCTGTGACTCGGGCAATGGATAAGGCAGAAAAAAATGGATGAATGATTTGTTTTCTGATTCAACACAGGCTTCTAAAGACCTCGTTTTGACCTGAACCGATCTTTCAAACTGTTGCAACGTTATATTTTATTTGTAGGTGATAGAGAGTAGTTTCCATCATACCCAAATATCTCAAATAATTGAAAATATGTTCAGATTGGAAGAATTATACCCAAATGTTTTGCATATCAATGATTAAATCAAATGCCTAAAAATGTTTTTTTATTTTTGAATCTATCCTGGTTCAGCAGTCTCCACTCTCTTCCTCCACAGCTGTTTTTCACCTCACACAGGAGGTGGGACACAGGAAAGGGAAGAGGGTGCGGTCCCTAAACACTACTTTTTCTTGTTCCATCTATTTGATCCATTAACTACGTCTATTTTAAACATATATTTGCACTATATACAATTTTAAAAGGAACTCTGTTGTTTCTGTAGATGGCTGCAATCAGGAAGAAGCTGGTGATTGTTGGAGATGGTGCGTGTGGGAAAACATGTCTACTCATTGTGTTTAGTAAAGACCAGTTCCCCGAGGTCTACGTCCCCACAGTGTTTGAGAACTACATCGCTGACATTGAAGTGGACACGAAACAGGTAACCATACAGTTTATGCGGTCATCATTTTTACTCTACTCTTTGTTGACTGAAGTTTAAATTCTGAGGCTATATTAAGAGTCAACGGCAGGAAATGGATTCATGACACAGTCCGGTTTCCTGCTTCCTCTGTTGTAACTGTGATAGTAACTTCTTTCTCCCCCGACTTTTGGTATCAATGTGAAACGGCTAAAATTATACATAAAGCTAAGATCAACCCAAATCAAATTGTATTTATAAATATTGTAAATACACTGTGGCCCTCGTAATAGATGTAAAACCATGAAAAGAGCGGTTCTGTCCCACACACTGTCCTGCTTGTGCGTGGTTTGGTCGTGAATTGTAAGAGCATTCTCAAAGGGCCGATCCAGTTCAGTAATGTAGTTTGTACTTGTGCATACTTTAATTGTTGATAGTAAATAAGAAAAATGAAGCTTACGCGCAAATTCAGACTGGAAGACAGGAGAACTAAGCTCACAGCGCTCAAAGTCCTCCTGCTGTTGCTGTGGGCAATCACACTCAGCTGCAGCGCCACATGCAAATCCCCACCTGCAGCAATCAGGCACTGCCCACATCAGCATCATATTGCACCAAAGCTCCATCCAAGCAGCAGCTCACGCCGCAACCCTCCTCCTCTCCATCTCCGCCTTGTTCTAGGCCAGCTCCTTCATTCTTCTCCTGGCTACCACCACCAGGGTCTAGGCCCCGGGGATTTAATCTCATAATCTCTTTCCCCTTCTGCAATCGTGCAGTGCTCTGCCGGGTCTAAGTGCCAAATCCTAACCATATTTTATACAACACAATAAATGTAATCTTGAAAATATTGTCTTCAGTATCATTATGTAATTTATGTATTGTCAGATTACTGCCAATCAATATACAATTCTAATACTATGTTTTGTCTGTTCGAGTCCCTCCAGATTGAATTGGATGAGTTTGTCTAATAAATAAATATTAAATGCAATGAGAAATAAATACTAAAAGCTAATCTAAAAAGGTGTGTCTTGACTCTTGAGCCCAAGTGGCCCGGTGCGAACGGTCATGGCCATTGGTCCCTCAGCCATTCGAGAATACGGTGTTTTTTAGTATGAAAAATTACCGTATTTTCTCCTACATCTTGGTCATGTGAGACGATAGTGCTGAAATGTAAACGGGAAAGTCTCTCCACCGCGCGCTCGTTCTGTAGATGCTCCTGTACACTGCACAGAGGCCTGTCATGAAGTATTCATTCATCCCGTTCTGCAGGGTAATACAGTAGTAATTTCACCTCTGAAAGATGTCGAGCCTTTTGAATCCCTCCTGAAATTCCACCCAAAAGCCGATTTTGTTAACGACATAAGGCAGGTCTTCTGAGGTCAAATGTGTTCAAAGAGTCCTTTTCATAATTTGACCATTTTTAACTGTCTATGTCAGGTGGAGCTGGCGCTGTGGGACACTGCGGGACAAGAGGACTATGACAGACTGAGGCCCCTGTCCTACCCCGACACAGACGTCATCCTCATGTGCTTCTCCATCGACAGTCCTGACAGCTTAGGTACCTGTGCTTATACAAAATGAGCATCATGATTTTTAGAATGGTTTAAGATCAGAGGGCAGATATTGTTACAACAAACAAAACATGTTTTGTGCTCCCCACACAGCGACTTTCATTCCTCAAGTTTGGTGGTTTAATCAGATTGTTTGTAGTGTATTTTTGGTATTCAGATTAGTGTCTATCAAAATATAGTGCATTCCAGACAATGAGGCCTTTTTCATATTTATTGACCTGGAAAGTCCTGCTGCAATTCACAATCTGTATTTTTATTTTTCAGAGAACATTCCTGAAAAGTGGACACCTGAAGTAAAACACTTTTGTCCCAACGTTCCCATTATCCTCGTTGGAAACAAAAAGGATTTGAGGAATGACGATCACACACGACGAGAACTTTTCAAAATGAAGCAGGTTGTATTCAGCAGGTGAAAACATAGATGGATATAAACTGAAGCTTGAACTTGTAACTTTCACAGGAGCCGGTGAAGCCTGACGAGGCCAGGGACATGGCCAATCGCATCAACGCTTTCGGTTATCTTGAGTGTTCGGCCAAGACCAAGGATGGTGTGCGGGAGGTGTTTGAGATGGCCACAAGGGCGGCGCTGCAGGTCCGTAAGCGCAAGTCAAATGGCATCTGTGAGCTGCTGTGAAGGAGCTCTCATTCGACACAACTTTGGATCATATTGAGGCTTCCTGGACCGCTACAACTAGTAGCCATCCCACCGGAGGATATGACAGACTGTCTGGCAATAAGGCCTAATAATGCGTCATCTTTCTGCTTCTTTCACTTTTGGGCTTTATGTTTCAATGCACCTGCATTTCTGTTTGTTTGAATGTTTGTTTGTATTTATGAGTATATTTTTGAGTCCACTGACTGTCACTCTAATTATGCAGATCTGTCACTACAAAAGCTCAAACTACACTCGTTTATTATTCTTAAAGAACTGCAAGTATTGATGCTTCAGGGATTTTGGTGTCTTTTAAGGCTTGTCTATTTACACAGATTAATCCACAAATCCTTTGCAAACCCTGGACCATTATTTGAGTATGTAACTGCCTGTACTGAAACTTTCCTCCTCCACATCCGGAGCATAGGCAGCACTGCTCTTTCTTGTGCCACTAAGGTGTATCACTTTATTATATGGAGAGGAAATTATGTAAAAAATTGTCTGAGACACAACTTTTTTCATTGTCTGAACTGTCGCAGACGTCTAGAAAAAAAAAAAGTATTCAAAATATTCAACAAATAGTGAAGTAATGATGGATTGCAATAATTAGTAATAAACGTAATTGTAATCATCTTTGTCATTGATTGTTTTGCGCTGTAAATGGTATGACCAAATAAAGCCACTGTGTCCTAAGACGGGTTGAATACGAAAGTGTTGAGAATTGACGATTGTAGCCCACAAATTGTAGCACGTAACTCTCAGTGTGACTAACAAAGAGGGAACTAGAACCGTTGTAAGACTACGAGTCAAATACAATGTTTGATCATTTGGAGTGTCAGTGATTTTTACGCCTGCTTAAATCCAGCAGAGGAAAGCCTTTGAGTGAGCAGCTTTTCACTGGGCAGACCGCAGGAGCGCCCTGCCTCTGGCGGACTGGGGCCTCACTGCTACTGGCCCAAGACAAGGCTCAGAGGGAAATCCACCTCTACCAAATGTGCACCTGGTCGGAGAGGGATCAGGACTCATGAACAATCCTTTATGAGCACCACTTCTACCTGGTGGGCTTGTTTGAGGACCCCTGTGCTTTTTAATGCCAATAATTAGACTGTCCTCTCTAGGACATCCAGAGCTGGCCCCATGCATCCACTAAGTTGGGACCTCAAGCTGCTGTCAGCTGATGACCCTTGGTCAAAATGATTGAAAGTTGAAGAAATATAATTTCTAATTTGGGGTCTAAATGACCCAGGGCTAGTTAGGAAAAGACATAAAAATTTATTCAGGGTATTTTTCAATCACTGTGGTTGGTCTGTTTTGTCTGTATTAGCTACTGATAACCACTTGGATTTCCTCTTGTGGGATGAATAAAGTACCTCATTAAATAGACTGTGGACTCAAAACACAAGAGATTTTAATAATTCTGCTGTATTAGTTTCACCAATGATGACAATTTTCGTTTGACTTGTCCGCTGCTAAAATCGCCAAAAGCTAGAACATAATACTTAGCAGTGCCGCCGATACACACTTTGTTAAAAATGGTTTTATTTCAAGAGTTATGGAGACACATTTATTTTGGAATGTTCAACTTCAAATGTAAAACAGCAGAAAGTCACTGCCAAATTAAAATACAAAAAAGTTGGTAGCCACAATGTAACCAAAGTCTTCAAGAACTACCTCCGGCAGTGTCTAAACATTGGGGGAAAAAAAAAAATCAAATTTCTCAAAACAACTTTTTTTTTCACTCATTGAACCGAGGTAGAAAATATCAGTGATTTGCGATCCTAAAATAACTTTCTTGCTTTGTTCACTGCTGCATCTGAACAAAACTGAGTGCCACCAATACCAAAGTAAACCTTTTTTACTCTTTAAGTGGCACACCTTGGATATTAAGAAATGCATAATTGCATCACCCTGATCTGAAGCCATGATTTTCTTTGCAGTATTCAATGAACCTAGAAATGTACAGACAAACAAATCATCAATTCAATCAATGTGTTATTTAGATGTAATCTTCATCATATAAGAATCAATATACTATATATACCGTGCCCACGGTTGTTCGGAAGTCTGGTTTCCAACAATGATCAGCAGGGCTTTGGCTCTGTTTACAGCAGTATTGAACCACTTTTAAAGTATAAAAAAACTGTTATGACACAAATTAAATATAAATGTAAAAATGGACATGGTCTACCTTCTGGTTCTGCATACGGCTGCTGACTGTGGACACCAGGATCACTCCTCTCTTGACCTTGAAACTGCTCCACAGTGCCAACCTGAGAAACACATGTCAAACTCAGAAAACATGGCCTCTTTGTGCATTACAGTATTACAGTGCAGTGTATTACCTTTAGGCCCCCAGTATTGGGGTACTTTTTTAGAGCCATAGAGATGTTTTTCACCTGTGTTGGAAACAGTATTAATTTACTGCGTGGATAAAATATATGTGAGTAGTTCTGACCTGTTTCCAGTAGGGGGCGATGATGCCTATGTCTTCAGGAGATACGTTGCTCTTTCCATTTATCAGTTTCCTCACGTATCCCATGAGCTCATCCACCTCTGCTGTGTTGAAGCATGACAGACCGCTGGACTTGTTGACCACTTCATGGAAGATTACTGGGAAATTCTGATAATTACAGTCCACATGATATTTCCAGATAAGTTCTTCAATATGGGGTTCAAAAAGGTTTGAGCACCCCTGGTACATAAATATGTGTATTTACATGAATGTGAACGGAAAAGCAAGGGAGCGAGAAAAGACATTGGAATACACTGTAAAAAGTAGTTTAAAAAAAATGATGTATGACAATTATAGAGTAAAAAAAAACATAGGTGAAAGTGAGTTAATTCAAGTCTGAATGCTTCTTACAATAATATTAATAATTTAAAACAACAAAATTTCTAGTTGTTTGTGTTGCGTGGACTGCTCTTAGAGGCTTAATCCACAGATTTGCAGTTGTGTCTGGAGACTAAAATCTGGACTGGGATCATAGTCACCAAATGTACTATTGACTCATTCTGACTAAACTTCTATTCTTATACTACTTATAACTTATACTGGACCTATTTACTTGTTGCATTAGGCTTCTTTTTTTTTTTAAATCTTCAAAAAAAATGTTTTGGGGGACTTTGGGCATCTTTCAGTTAATCATGTGGCTCCAATGTGAAACAGCTGGTGTTGGATAACCATCAAACAATTAACACCACTACAATGTAATATGTTCTTCAAACTTCTATGATGGATGATCGTAAGTTGTGCTGGTTACCATTGACCTAGCCTGGCCTTAGCCATCTGTAAACGTCAATAATCATTTCCCTTCATGTATCGTCTAGGTCTGCTCCCAGTGTCTGCAATTACATCGGTTGAATCCCATCCGGCCAATCAGAGAGTGTGAGAGGCGGGTGTTGTAGTTCGACCAGCCGAATTGGCTGGTCGTAGTAGTGGCGAATGCAATAGTAAAGTAATCCGTTCTGGTTCTATCAAGAAATTGAAGCCGGAGCAAGAGGAATCTTTAGCAAATGTAAATTCTAAAGTTAGGCAAAATAATAAATGCTAGCGACGGGCGCATTACATACGTGACGGTAAACTCAGATCCAGTCGTTTCAATCTGCAAAAAGAGTTAACCCCTCCCACCTGTTAACAGAGCTCAATGGAGCAAACGTAGTTAAGTCTAGAGCATCCAGACGTTTGTACGAAATGTAATTTGTACAATGGTGTGGTAAGACCAGGCTACTATTCAACAGGTATCAGTACAGAATCAGAACAGATAATTATCCAACAAAGAACTGCTTTAATAAACACCTTTTGTGGGAGGAACTCAAAGAAGCAGCAGGAGTTGCGTTCATATTCATCAGCGCGGGCCAGCAGTTCATTGTTATAGAAGAGCTTATTCGGAATTTCTAAAATGGCCGGATGAGACCTGTGACAACAGATGAGTTAGTTTACAATAATTGTCCATTTTTATTAATGAAAAATGTATCTCCAGGAAGTACCTGAAGTTACGCAGAAGTTTAATGACAAAGTTGTTGTCAAAGATGACATTTGTCTTCTGATAAAGAGTCATCAAACGCTCCAACAAAGACAGCCCTGCACACAAACATCAGTATAAAGTTAGGAAATCATATATAGTGTACAATGCGTGTTTATGTCTCACCCATGCCAAATTTCCGAGCCCAAGGGGATCGGACGATGGGTTCGAGTTGTTTGTGGTCCCCTGCCAAAACAACCTGCCCAGTATGTGAATGGAGGAGCCCTGTGTTTTTCAGGGGAAAACATGTAATTATATTGGACTGAAGAGAGTCAAGATTTGAATATATTTCCGCACCTGCTAATGGAAGGATGCATGTAGCCTCGCTAGCATATCCCGCTTCATCTACAAACACATGAGTGAAGTGACCTGTGGGAAAGCCCTGGGTCACGAATCTATAGAATACAGTGTTATAGAGAGGTAAGCTTGATTAGAGAATAGTGCTAGTTAAAGGTGTGTGTGAACCTTGATGATGTTAAGAGTGTCGTAGCGTTGACAGACTTCAAATCTTGAATGTCTTCAGGAAACTCAAAATAATTCCCAACCAGGTTAGAACAGTTCTAGAAATGCAGAAGAGTTTGTTTACTTTGCATAAAACAATAACAGATTATTAGTTAAAATGGTGTAAAACCTTGAGATTGTTTGGGACGTCCTGAGGGCTGTGGCTCTTTGCATATATCCTGAGCAGCTGAGGGCCCACATCCTGCAGGAGACTCTCACACAAAGTATCAACAGCTTTGTTAGTGTGGGCACACACCAGGATGCAACTGTGGGGCTGGCAATGTATTATCTGTTTGATGGCCTCCACCAGAGTCACAGTTTTTCCTGAAACAATATGGTTTTATAATTCTTCACTCTTCTGTCCAGGCAAGGCAAGGAAAGTTTATTTGTATAGAACAAATAATACACAAGACCACTCAAAGTGCTGAACAGAATAAGATAGAAACAACCACTCAAAGCATTCAAATTATAAATCATCAGAGCACATTAAAAAGAGTAAAAATAAAATCCCTTATTTGCTAAACAGAACAGTTTTTAACCTGTATTTCAACACTGTCAGAGAAGAGGCCTGTTGCACCTCCTCAGAGTCCGGGCTGGTTCATATGGGACTAACATGTCACTAATATATTTTGGTGCGAGGCCATGGAGAGACTTGAACACAAGCAGAGCTGTTTTAAAGTCTATTCTCTGAGCCACAGGAAGCCAGTGCAGAGACCTGGGAAATGGACTAATGTGATAGTACTTCCTGGTCCTTGTCAAGACACCACAAGCTCTATGTACCTGTTCCAGGAGGGCCGAACACAACGTAAGGGGCGGGTTTAGATGATCCTGCCACAATGTGCTGCACAGCTCGATACTGCTCTGGGTTTTTTTCCAGCTTCTTGTCAAAAAGCCTGTCAAGTGAAGGTTTTAAATTAACATACTCCATAAATAATTTGCTCAAAATGTGTGCAGAGATGCCCACTTGAGATCAGGTAGAGTCAGTGGAGCAGATGAAGGAGGTGCCTCTGGAAACAGCACTGGCCCCAGTCCGCTTTTCATTGCCAACTCTATTGCCCGGTGCATGGTTCTAAAATTCAGGCGATTTACCATAAACTCAATGTGAAACTTCATGCTGTTCACAAAGATATCCAGCAGCCTGTAAAAAATATGATAAATATTATAAAAATAAATATCATTAAACACAAATATATTTTCTTACTCTTTGCCAAAGCCCAGTGTGACAGATTCGTGTTGCACAGTATGGACATAACCACGGTATTTATTTTTTCTCTCTCCGACAGGACTGACTAGCAGCTGATCTCCTCTCTCCAGCACGGGGAAGTTTCCACTGGTAAACTGACACGCAAATAGCATAAACAAAAGCTTAAATGTAACTAAACCTCCGTCACAATTGATCATCAAAGAAATAAACTGTACAGAATGTTCTTTGTCCATGTACCTTCAGAACAAGGAGCTCGCTAACTTGGTCTCTCTCCATTGTCGCCTCCTGCTGGTCATCATTGGGAATGTTGAATTTCCTCACGTCCCTCTCAACCTGATGCTCTTCCAAATGCAACAACAGACGTAACTTCTCTGTGTAGTTGCTGATGCTCAGAGGGGATTGTAACGTAGTTTGTCTGAAAGATATGATCTTTTTATAAATATTCATATTTTGTTTCTAAGGAGTATTTTACAGAATAAAACCAATATGACTGCACATTGAGTGTGTTAGTGAACGTGTTATGTTTACCTTTGGTCATATATGGCTGAGTTTTTCAGGGCCAAGATGAGATTGTTAATATTATCCTCTACTTCATAATTGAGCAATTGCACTTTCTTTGTTTGCTTCTTCTCCTTCAAACTAAATAGATAACACATGATTGTTCTAGAAGGTAGGAGGAATCATGTCTAAATATTTGTGAACACACAGTTTCTGTACATACAACTCTTCCGGAAGCTGGCCATCAAAAATGGTGAACTTAATTGGGGGGGTCCAAGAGGGATGAGAGCGGAGCAGATTGGGGGTGTCCTCAGCTCCGGTTGTAGTCAGACACTCAGCCTCAATAAATCGCACAATGTAAAACGAAGGGAAAGAGTTCCTGAGTTTGAACTCAAGAGCGAGCATTGCTGTCTCGACCCCTCTTTTAGAAGGGATGTATTTAACCACAATGTTAATATGTGACTCTGAAACAGAAAAGAGCGATAAATACATGAAATTAAAGCTTTTTGTAAAACAAAATATACTAATACCAATCCTCACTCCCTAAAAACCTTATCTGTCTTGTAAGACAGGAATGTGTATCAAAGCTGTAAATACCCCAACCCCCAGAACTGGCACTGAGATTTATGGTTTTTTAGGAGGAAGTACGAGAGGAAACTCTTTCTTGAGAAATAATGCACAGCTACTAGCACTGCTGCCTATTTCTTATGTAATAACGATGTATTCTTTTGTACTTTTCATGTTAAATACATAGCATTTTATGACTGATAATTCTAAGAGGGATAATTCCAAACCTGCAATTGCAAAATTATGTTTTCTTATATCTTCCAGCTCTTTTTTAACAATATGGTTCATATTTGCACAAATTCTTACTTGGCGCAATATCCAGAGAATGATGCTGATTCCCCAGTGAAAAGTGTGCAACCCCACAGAGAAGAGAGTGATCCATGAGCCACGCTGTTTCTAAGCCAGTGTTCTCAATGTATAACTGCACAGTGTGCTGTCGGAGACAAACACAATCATTTGTTTTAACTCACACTCACAATGTACTGCATTCATACCTCAGTGTTGCGGTCGGCTCTGAATGAAATCTTTCCGTCCTTGAACCGATGGTCAGGGGAGAAAATCTCAATCCCATTTTTATCAGCAATGTCAACCCTAGAGGTGATTATGAGAGAATCCTGTATAAATAATTCTGCCTTTACAATGGTCATGTGATATCTTGAGGGTTAGGGTTAGTACCAAATAAAACACCACAATTGCATCATGAATGAGTTTTGTTGAGGTTGTGGTGTGTTTTAAGTCCGCACAAGTACATGTATCTGTTACAGGTTGAACTCAGTTGAAGGTTTGAGCACTTGTTACTGTCTCATGGCTTATCTTTGACCACAACATCTCCAGAGTAAAGCAGCATTCCATCAACCCCCTCCATAATACTGTTCAAGGTCCTGAAGCCACTTTGTTCACACTGGCTCTTTGAAAGTTTGTAATAGATTGGACTCCAGTGAAACTACACATTGTTATTTTCATCCCTCTAATGATAAATGAACTGTGTATTAGGGGTTGTGTAAGAAGATCAAAACATCTTGTGAGTGGAATATCTTTAATTAAGGGAGTGACTTTGTAGAAACATGCCGCCACATGTTTGGTATCCAATACTTTTTATACGTTTATACCGTAATTAACAATTTTTCTTTCACTTTCATTTATCCAACACTTTGGTCTTCCACATAGGGTGTGAATACATTTTTAAGCCACTACATGCATGTGAAAGCTAGTGATAGAATTAACTGTTAAACCACTGTTAATTATTGTTATTTTGATTATTGATTCATTATTTTACCTTGTGGGCTGACTCCAGTTCAACTTGCATATCTGAAAGAATGCACAATTAAACCTCTTTTTAACAGTTAGCCATAACATTGTCAAACATTCAGGATACGCTGACAGGCTCACTGAACCTTCACTGTAATAACATGTTTAATACTTACCTTTTTCAAAAATATAACTGTGCTCCCATGTTTCACTCTCACTTGCCCAAACCGAGACAGACCGTAGAGGATTGCGCTAAATGGAAATCCAGACCGGCTGCTGACCAAAAGGGCAACAGTAATGAAACAGCAGGCTACAATAGTGTGGACTCAATTACTCCTGCTGAGGTGTTTTTCTGTTCACTTTACTTGTTAGTCATTCATGAGATAGTTAAGATTTACAATTTTACCACCTATTTGATACATGGAACTAATGAGGGTCAAAATTGGGAAAAAAATGATTTATCTTGAAGCTGTGATGATGAGCTTTGTTAAACTGCAGCTAATACATTACGCATATCTAAATAGTTCTCACCTCCTTTTGAATCATATAGCCTATGTGATTCAACAATTACTAAATCAGTGCATGGCTTTGTTTTTTGGTTAAATGTAAAGAAAAACCCCATACTCAGCAGAATTTCAAAACTTAAAGGTATGTTAGAAGATTTTCCCAAATTTTAAGAAAGAACCCTCCTCCTCTAGCTTGGCCTTAGCCATCGGTACACCCCGGTTAATCATCATTTCCCTTGTAATTTGTACTATGCTGTGGTACGACCAGGCTAGTCCTCCTCCACTTTGAACCAAAACTCTCTGGTCTATTGGACAATTGGGAGGATTGGGAGGACCAATAGTCTTGATGATCCACCCGGAAGTAGAGAATCCTCCTATATAACTTTAACTTATTAATTGAAATTATCATTTATCATCAACAATTCATTACATTTTCCTGAATGTGTGTGTGTGTGTGTGTGTGTTCTTGGAAGTGGTCATTTGTAGATAAAACCTTCTCATTCCGAAAACATAATTTGAAGCAGTAAATGTATTTAATTGTTCAATTCGAACGTAGAATTATAATGATCTTGGGCCATATTAATCCCAAGTAATTGATTTTTTAGATAGATTCTAGTATTTTTTTATTTATTTTTTTTGAGCTACAGAAGCATGCTGTGAAGAATAATAGCAGGCCTAATGATCAAAATCTGAATGCTGAAAACAAACCCACTATTAAGAAGATACTCTAAACATGGTGAATTTGAGGCCTGTGTGGTTTTAACAGAGCCACTTGTGACTCCTCTCTCTTATGCCAGAATGATGAAAAAGATTGTTCTATTATGAGACTATGCTGCATCAAACATGAATCTGGTTGCAGAAGTTACTCATATAGAAGCAAGGAAACGAAACTATAGTCTATATACTGTATGCATGGTCTAAACCACAGAAAGAGAACGACAAACCAACAAAACAAACATCTAATATTCTTATGATTTCTTATTACGTGTTTGATATATATAATCAAGCACATTTCTTTATTGTGAGTAACTTACTTTTGTCTGAACTCGTTCCTGTAAATGTCGTTGAGTGTTGGTCTGTCTCTGAGGGAGCTGCGTCTTGTCTCTTCTAAATACACGTAAAACTCCAGCCCAAAGTCACGATATTCCCTGAGCAGCTTTTTCATGATGATGGCGCTCCACGAATGACCAAGAATGGATCTGACAGATGTTTTGTGTTCGCTGATCCAGAGTCGCGGAGGAAACACTGTTTAAGCGGGGGGCGGGGTGTGCGCGCAGCATGGCCCGGAGCCTGTGCCATGGAGGAGCGTCAGGTGTAAAAGCAGAAAGTAAATATAAAATTGTGTAACTAAAGTATGCATGTATTTTGATAAGAATTCGTTTTATTTCTTAGGCGCCTTTCTAGATACACAAGGTCGCCTCACATTACAAGAAAAAAGTACATTTAGAGAGACAGAAAAAATATATACACTTTTTGTTTAGGTGCTTCCATGTACTCATATCGTCTTTAATATTATATTTACAGACTATTGTCATCATCCATCTCTCTATCTATCTGCTTGTCTGTCTATCTATCTTATTGTTAATCTATCTACGTCATGGATCTATTGATCTACGCACGTTAATTAGCTGCCTCCTAAACTGTATTTGCGTGGTGGTTTTGTGGGGAATAAATAATTTTTATGTTTTTTTACGCGCGATATATAAATGTAGGTCGTCATTACTCACTGATCAGACCCGAGCACGGTTTCAATCTATAATAAGAACTACTTTTATATACAGAAAAGCGTCGCAAGGAATATGTTACGGATATACAGTCACAAATCTTATCTATAATAATAATAATAATGCATCAGTTTTATATAGCGCTTTTTTGGACACTCCATACACGGAGTGAAATATCATTAAATAAAAATTATAACAACCTAACACACTCACAAGCACACACCTTCAGTATTATATTATTTATTCAATTAATCAAATGAATACAAAACAAATCAATCTCAAAGGAGATTGTTGATTTGCCAACAGATGCACACATCTTTCATACATTAAAAAAATAAATTAAAGTAAATGGATGTGGAGCAGAGAGAATAGGTAAAGGGACATTGTTCAGATATTTTCACAGTTCATTTCTCCATTCTGGGTCCAGCTGCTGTTGTACAACACTCTCTGCTGTCTTCACTGCAAAACACAAACAAACAAACCGACAATCAATTAAACTGAGTTAAATAAGTGATCAACAGTGTGTCTGTGTTGTTAGCAAAACCAAAGTGGCACACAACTGAAGCAAATGACTTACCTTCTCCACCTTCCATGTCACGGTAAATAGCGGCACATCTCTCCACAATATCATCATCATCTTCAGTTTGGACATAACCTTTGTAGCCTCCGTTGTCCTGGCAATACTGAAGAAATCTGAAAATAAGATAATAAATTGGCCTAATGACAATCACATGCAGACACACACTCAAATCGTTACTCTACTTTTATTGTTATAACAAACCTTTCCCAAGTAGTGTCTGACCTCAGGACTAAGGGGTTCCCTACAACAATCAGCAGGGCTTTCGCACGAGTTACAGCCACATTGAACCTCTGATTTAAGAAAACTACATCATTACAAAATCATGAATACAGTTGTGCTTGAAAGTTTACACAGAAAAGTCATTGTTTTGGTCATAATTTTGGGAGATTGTACACATGAGAGAACATGAGAACACACAAAACTTCACTCATAGCCAGTGATTGTGTAAGATATTGTCAAGTCTTCTATTTTCAAATCATAACACAAATTAGATAATCTGTGGAGAGCCTAAATAACTTGAGCCTTTTTGCAGAGAAGAATTGGCAGCTTTACCATCAGAGAGGATAAAGAACCTCCTCTACAACTGCCACAAAAGACTCCAAGCTGTCATAGATGTTAGGGTGGCAATACATAGTGTTGAGAAAGGGGGGATAGAAACTTCTAATCCGTTTTAAAGTCGTTTTAATAGATTTGTGGTCATTTTTAATTTGATAATAGAAAACAGGTTAATTTGACAATATCTGGCCTGACACAACCACTAACAATGAGTAAAGAAATATAGCCAAAACATCAACATTGCCGACTGGATGTGTAAAAGATCAACTTGATCAAAGTGATAATAAAGGAAGAGTTTACCTTGCAATTCCTGAGAAACCCTAGTTTGAACTTTTTGTCAAACTCAGCGTAGTTAGAGCTGCTGCGGACTGTGGAAACCATGATGACTCTCCTCTCCTGACCCTGAAACTCCTCCACTGAACCAACCTGAAAAACACTGTCAAACTGACACTCTGACCCCAAGTTAGCTTTTATAATAACATGTACCCACCTTTAGGCTGTTCAAAGACGGAATCTTTAATTCCTCCATTTCCTTCTCAACTATTTGAAGTGCCTTTCGGATTTTTTGTACCTGCAACAGGAAACATTTCTGTTAATTCTGTTTTACTGTACAGTACATGTAACGTACTGTTTTCTGACCTGTTTCCTGTAGGGAGCGATAATCCCTATATCTTTAGGAGAGATGGTAGAGAGACCTTTCTTTCCTTGTGTCTCCAGCAGTTTTCTCACATATCCCATCAGCACTTCCACCTCTGCAGTGTTGAAGAATGAGGGACTGCTGGACTCTCGATCATCCAAACCGGTAACTCCATGGAAGATGATTGGAAAACCCTTAAAATGAAGTCAAGTTTAAGATCAAATGAAGACTGACTTTGATTCTCATAACACAGTACTACATCACAACCTTTCAATGACTATACTAACATGGAAGACAACTACTTTTCCTCTTTTTGTATACATAAGAAGGGGGTTCAGGCTTCTCAGGCCAAACACATATCTTTTCGGTAAGGATACCATTGTTGGAAGATGCTCCCATCGGCAATATGAGTTGCGTTGATATTCATCAGCACAGGGCAGCAGTTCACGGTCATAGAAGAGCTCATTGGGAATTTCTAAGATGGCCGGATGAGATCTGTAACATATACATATTATGAATGTATAACACTATACTGTACAATTATTTTGTTTGTATAGTATAGTAATTTAGTATCTTGTACACCAAAAGGCAATCCCAGGTTACAAAAATAAACAGCAACACACAGTCTTATAATGAATTATAAAGAATGCATTGGTTTTATATCGCGCTTTTTGGACACTCAAAGATGCTTTACAGGTCATTATTCATTCACTCCTTGCACAGAGGTGATAAACCACCACAGCTGCCCTGGGGCACATTGACAGAAGCGAGGCCCCCAAGATCTGTATCTGTATCCGACCACCACTAATCCTTCACACACACACACACTAGACTTATTCGAAGCAATGAGGGTGAATTGTCTTGCCTAACGACACAACAACAGTTTGGCACTTTCCAGCCGCAGCCGCCCCACTGTGGCACCTGGTGTTCTCAGAGGTCTCCCATCACAGTACTAACCATACCCTGCCTTGCTTAGCTTCAGAGGTCTGACAGGATCTGGATTTCACATGCAGGTATGATAAGCCAAGAATTGTAATGAGAAATAATACAACCCCAATTACATTATCTCAGCTATGAAAAGGATAAAGTCCAATTTTTTACGTTTGATCGTAGCGTGTCCTAGCTTATCACTGCAGGGAAGACAGGAAAAAGAGTAAAGTCTGTCAAAGAAGAGTAAAGATTGACAGACGGATTGGTGCAGCGTGTGCAGTGGTCCTGATCATGAGCCCCAGGGAAGAGGTCTGGGCTTCTCTGCTTAAACTGCTCTCCCTGCCACCCAGCTATGGATAAAGTGGAAGAAAATGGATGGATACATACATTTGCGGTATGTGTATTTCTACAGTTACTACCTGTAGTTCCGGAGAAGTTTAGTGACATAACAGTTGTCAAACATGTCATCAGTTTTCTGATATAGGGAACAATGTGTCATCAAACGCTCCAACAAGGATAGCTCTGCACAAAAACCGTGTATAACAAATCAATGAATACAAGAAAAAACTTGGACAACTTTAAAATTATACTTATGTCATACCCATGCCAAACTTCAGAGCGAATGGGGATCTGATAATGGGCCCGAGTTGCTTAGCGTCTCCAGCCAGAACAAGTTGGCCAGCCGCCGGGTTCAGTAGTCCTGTATTTACAGTTTTTGTTGTATTATTTGTCATTTCCAAAAAACATCTAAAGAAAGTACACTTTGCTTTTTAGATTTTGCTTCACCTGCCAATGGCACTATACACTCAGTTTCCATAGCATGACCTGCTTCGTCCACAAACACATGCGTGAAGTGACCCATGGGGATGTTTCCTGAGACCAGCCTGCAGAAAATACGGACGTCACAAAAGAATATTCTATACTATAAAAGAATATATACTGTACCTTCCAGCAGTAATCAATGTTGTGATCAGAATTTTATACTCCATAAGTTTCTCCTTTGCAGGAAATTCATAACAGTCTCCAACAAGATTAGAGCAAGCCTATGTCGTGACCAAAAATAGACAAACATGATGTAAATGCACAATGTGTACAAACCAATCTATTATTTATTTATTTTTATTTATTTTTTACTTATTTATTTATTTAATATGGACATAGCAATTAACATTGGACGAACCAGATGCATTGTTTAAAGTGTTAACAAGTGTCACAAGTGCTAATATATTAAACCTATCTTAAATGAAGCTAAAGCAGAACGGCCAACTCACCTTGAGCTCCTCCGGCACCAGCTTCGGGTCACGGCTGCTGGCGTACATCCTGAACACCGAACGCTCATCTACATGATCTCGAATCTTTTTGCACAGGAGATCGGCAGCACTGTTGGAAGGAGCGCAGGCCAGGATGTGGCAGTGGGGCGTGCATTTCTCTATCTGTTTGATGGCCTCCACCATAGTCACTGTTTTGCCTTTAAAAGATTGCATTTATATTACAAATAATATAATATCAATCTCTAAGTTCCATTTTACAGTTTGGCAAGAGGAAGTGTTTTTTCTGTCTTGAGGAATGCCCATTGCCGCTGGTGTAAACAACATCTTATATGAAAGAGCATAGTGTGTACTACCTGTGCCAGGAGGGCCAAACACAAGGTAAGGCGCAGGTTTAGATGAACCTGCAACAATGTGCTGCACAGCTCGATACTGCTCTGGGTTTTGCTCCAGTATTCTGTCAAAAAGTCTGTAAAATTAGGAAAATAAATGATTATGTCAGCAATGTTTGAGCAAAGCAAAAAGGATATCACATTGGACTTGTGAAAAGAATTCTGAAAAATATGTATAATTACAGAACTTTACTAACTTTTGTTTAATACTACTTTTTGTAAAGCATAGTACATATTGTGTTTTCCATGACACACAAAGACAGATGCATCAGATTGCATTTTTTATTCACTCCATATACTGTGGTGCAGAACTACTGCTGTAAGCCACAGCTGTCCTGGGATAAAAAGTGGACAGTTTCTACAGTTGTTCAAAGCTGCTCACTTCAGATCAGGAAGAATCTTTGGTGCCGGTGAAGGAGGTGTGACTGGGAACAAAACTGGGGCCAGTCCACTTGTCACTGCAAACCCGACTGCCCTGTGCTGGATTCTCATAATAAGGTGATTTATGAGGAACTCGATGTTGAACTTCATGCCAGGCAGAAAGATATCCAGAAGCCTAATGAATAAATGATGCATTTCACATTTTCCATTGATTAAAATAAAATGTGTACATTCCAAAAACAAAAAATCCTTGTTAGACTTACTCCGAGCTAAAGCCCAGTCTAACAAAATCCATTTCCACATTGTGTACATAACCACGGTATTTCTTCTTTGTTTCTCCAACAGGATAGGCCAACAGCTGGTCACCTCTCAGCACAGATGGACGATTCTCAGCAACACCTGGAACCTGGCAAACAAAATGAAAATAAAGAAGTTTCCATTGATTTACAAACTGGGATTTATTTTTATTTTTATACAAAGCTAGTCATATGTGTTTGCATTGTAGAACCCAGTACCTTGAGGACCAGCAGGTTCTTCACTCTGTCCATTTTGGCCTCTGGTTGGTCTTCATTGGGTATGTTGTATTTCCTGATATCCACCTCCATCTGAAGCTCCTCCAGATAAAGCATCAGCGTAAACTTTTCGGCATAGTTGTCCCAGCTCAAAGAGGCTTCTAATATGTCCTTCCTTAAAACATCATATTAAACCACAGATTAAAGCTGCCTATTTACAGTACATGGGATGATGACATGTTGTTACCTTCTATCAGTGTAGGACGTCTTCTGTTTGAGTGCTGTAAGAAGATCATTCATGTAGTCTGGGATCCGATACGGCTTCAAAGGCACTTCATTTTTCAGCTTCATAATACTCATCCTGAGAAATGAGTAGTGACAATGACAAACCCATAATAAACAATATCATAATTCCTCCATAATCCATGATAACTCATTCATCCTGTTACTGTGTTATTATTATTATTATTATTATTATTATTATTAATGTGTGGATGCGTACCCTTCTGGAGGCTGCCCATCCACAATAGTGACCGGTGATGGAGGGGTCCATGCAGGGAGTGAGAGAGGCCTGTAGGGGGCAGCAGGGGCCAACTGCTTTCCAAGTGAGGTCATGCACTGAGCCTCAATAAAGCGGACAATGTGAAAAGAGGTGGAGGATTTCAAGTCTGCTTTGAACTCAAACGTGAGTGTCACTGGGTGGTAACCAACCGCATTGCCATTGAACTTGACCCTGACTTCATAGCGCTCGCCTACAACAAAAGTTTAACAGGCAGTTTCATGAGTCCTATATCTGTAGAAGGACACGCAGCTCGTGACAACATCAATAGATAAGAAGTGATAACTCGTGGAAAAGGGCAGAAAGTCTGGTTAGGGACAGTAGACAATGAAATGAGTTAATACAAATGACTATATTTTTTGAATGCTTCTTAATGCATTAATACATTTGAGTATATGTGTAATTATCACAGAAATAAAAGATCAGATACTACAATAGCAACCGCCTTAATTGATTATATTTAAAAAGCAAGTTAACTGGTGTCAAGAAGAGTATAGAACTTTCTTAGATGTTTTTGTAATGGAAGTATTATTATAAGGGTTTTATAGAGTGCTTGGTATAGAGTGTGTCAGTAAAAATCAATGTGGAAATTAATTGTGATTTCTTAACTTGATTAACTGTGATTTTATCATTTGTGAGGAAATGATGTCATTCTCATAGAAGACAAAGCCAGTTCCTTATCTTAAAGAGGAACCAGAGGTGAAGCGGGGCAGAGGTCATGATTCATGTTATGGGGTCAGAATGACGCAAAGGGGATGATATTAGCATCCCCTGAGACCATAATTGGGCATGAGACATGTCTATAAGGGGCAGGGGCAAGGGGCCCCTTGTCGGCCTTGGACAGAGACAAGCTGAAAGGTATGAGAAAGCTTCTTTCTGTGGCCTTTGTCTGCTCCAAAAGGAAATAGACGAATTCACCCAATATATGTCAGCATGTGATTCATGTTTTCCTTACTGAGTGGTTGAAGGTACAGGAAACTTTGTTTCAGGCAGCGAACAAGGCGCAGGAGGAAGTAGGCTGTGAGGGGCCCTGACCACAGTTTGTATTTGAATTATTATTGTGACTATACTTACATCACGGGAAAATATGTTGGGCTGTTTATGAAGTTATACATATTCCTGCGTTCAAGTTACAAGTAAACTATCTATATTGTCACTATTATGGAAACATGTCTGTTAATTGTAAACAGTGTTGGCAGTAATGTATTTCAAAAGTAATGTAATTACTGTAATGTAGGGATGCATCGATTGTGAATTTTTTGATCTATAATTGGCCAAGTTGTTATTTGGCCGATGTGTTGTCGTTTTTGTTTTATATAATATATATATATATATATATATCTATCCCTCAAACACATCTCTCTGCTGGCTCCGCCCTCCCACACCTACACACCTGGGTGCAATTAGGCAGCCGTGTAAAGCCCTGGCTGGAGGCCCATAGTTTCTCCTTTTCATTTCCATCCAGGTTATGGATCAGCCTGCGTCATGTGAGCTTCAGTTGGTTGATTTCCAATCTTAGTTTCATTGTTTGTTTGTTAATCTGCAATTTGTTTGTTGACCCTGTCTCGAGACCTCGTTCATTCACTTGGGCTATTTTCACCGGCTATTCAATACAATTTTACGTATATATTTGTTCACAACTTACTGTGAACAAATCAACAATATATATAATTCTTGGCAGCTTGATTTTTTTCAATTTGTTTTCTTCAGCTTGGATGCAGCCGTTGTACACAGCCTCAAGCTTGCGTCTCAAATGTCCAATGAGATTTGTTGTATTAACGAGATAAAACTTGCATTTTCAACATATGGGGAACAGCCGCATAGACCAAGTCTATGGTCAGCTTATGGCCACGTTTGCTGAGCTGGTGTCAAAGCGGCTCACAGCCGCTGGATACGGGAAATGCTGTCATTACAAGGCGGCCGTAGTTGCTCCGCGTCAGAAAGCTGCAGGAGGATGTGGAATCCTGTTTGAGTACGTACAGCAAACAACACAAGTGCCCCGCAGTCACACATTTCACTGGAACACGTATTGCAAACTGCATAACGCTGATCTTTTTCTGATACGCATTTTTACGCTGATGACACAATAATTTACTGTTTTGGAATTAACCCTGTTAAAGCTGTAGAATCTCTGCAGAAAGCTTTTGATGTGGTCCAGCACACACTTCTGCAGCTAAAACTGGTCCTCAACGCTGAAAAGACTAAACTAATGTTGTTTTCAAATACTAAGAAGGTTTCTCAAACGATCCCCTCAGTGTCCACTTTTGAAGGAAAAGTCATAGAGGTGGTTCACACTTACAAATACCTTGGTATATTGCTTGATGACTCCCTGAATTTCAAGCCCCACATAGACAATCTTGTGAAAAAACTTAAACTCAAATTGGGCTTTTTCTTTCGAAATAAATTTTGTTTTTCTTTTAAAGCAAAAAAGCAGCTTGTCACTGCAACATTTGTATCTATTTTAGACTATGGAGACCTGCTGTACATGAACGCGTCTGCTCAATGTCTACACAAGATTGACACTGTATATCATGCTTCTCTGAGGTTCATTACTAACTGTAGGGCCTTGACCCATCATTGTGAGCTGTATTCTCGAGTGGGATGGCCTTCTTTGTCCTCCAGGAGGCAGAGTCATTGGTATACTTTTATTTATAAAGCCATGCTTGGTCTACTGCCCTCTTACATCTGTAACCTAATCTCACGGAGGAGCGTTGGCTCTTATAGTTTGCGTTCAAATGATCATTTGTTGCTCACTGTTCCATTTGCCCGTTCAGAACTGGGAAAAAGGGCATTTGTTCACTCTGCTCCTTCTACATGGAACACGTTGCAAAAAGACTGGAAAATAACTGATCTTATTCCATTGAACGAATTTAAGTCCAAAGTGAGAGCACTTGAGTCAACCTCTTGTAAATGTTTTTTATAATGAGTATGTAATGTGTATGTAATTCTTAAACTGTATATTTTGCTGCCTCTTGGCCAGGACTCCCTTGAAAAAGAGGTTTTTAATCTCAATGGGACTTTCCTGGTTAAATAAAGGTTAATAAATAAAAATACTGTTAAAAATATTCCTCTACCGGTATCTCTTTGCCAATGTCATTTGTATTTGCCGATTGTAGTTACAGTAACATGGCAAACATCACCCTAGACCGATGTTCAGCCGATGCATCGGTGTAATGTATTACTTATTGCTCTAACACAGTAATGTAAGGCATTACAAACAAGTTTAAACCAAAAATAGTTTAGTGGGTGAATTGTGATGGTTAATAAGTGATTTAGGGAGCTTTGTTTCATAGCACATAGGTATTTGGATTGATGTTTGAATAAGTTAAGATGCAGTTTGTTAGTGGGTTTAGTAGACCGTGAGTGACTATCTCCTTTGATGTGATTGTGTTCCTTATCATGTGGATGATGTGATCTTGGAAGGAGACAATGTCCTGTGTCCTCTGCCTCTGTCCTTTCGACCCCCGTAACCCTCCATTGGTGATTGGCCAATGAGGGACTGGACCATTCTGATAGAGCTTGTGTGAATCCCATTGTGCGTCTGGAAGACTGCAGTGTCTGAAGAGCAGACTGCAGAAATTTGTCCATTTGCAAATGCTTGTTCTTATCATGTACTTTTTACTTTCATTAAATCACACAAAATACAACTATGTTTCCATGGATCATTAAGGACAGTTCCACAACACCAAGACTGGTCAAGGACTGAGCCAGAACTGAGCCATAATGTGGAACATAACAGTTTAGAGTACTTTATGTGCCAAACCAAAAGTAACTTAAAAGTAATGCAGAAGTTGAGTAATGCGTGACAATCCAGGGACAGTAATGTTGTAGTGAATGACATTACTTATAACTGTAACAAGAAATGTATATTACGTTTTTGACACTGATTCTAGGTCTGGAGGTTTTACACACTGAAGATTATTTACAGCTGTTCTACCACTATAATACTGCCTTTGGGGCCTTGGTCTGGCCACCAAAACAATACCTGACAGGTATTGACAACAACAAGAGCAAAGACCATCAGAAGCAATCCCTAATACTGAAGAGAGCACAGAGATTACAGTAAGAGGAAAAACTGGGGTCTCATCATGCACTGGCCCCTTAGGAGGAAGAGGGCAAATGTTCAGTGGGGGTGAGAATCAGGCAAGTTGCCTCCTTACACGACTTAAGTCAGCTGGCCTTGTTCACGAGAGGATGGATCCTCGAGAGGAGTTGGCAAGACTCTTTATGCGGTGAGTAGCCAGATTTATCCACCCGGTCTTTCACTTGATAAAACAGATATGCAGCCCCACCAGTCACCCATAGTCTGTAAGCCACTTACCTGGACTGAGTGTGAGGGGGTTTTTCTTTGTCACTTTGTGCTCATCCTCCAAAGAGAAGAACTGGAGCCAGTACAGAGCGGTGTAGTAGATGAAATGCACAGTTTGGTTGCTGGTGTTTTCAATTTTCAGATGCACAACATGCTGTTAACAAATCAAAAGTTACATCAATGCTCAAAGTGAAGCCTTACTTAGTGCACTTAATACCTCACTCAAACTTTCCACACACAGACTCATTTTTCCATCTGTAAACGGCTCTGCACAACTGATTCTAATCCCATGTTTGTCAGACGTCAACTCGGCCCTGCGCATGCAAAACACACAATTTAGTAAAAATGCATACATTTTTGTTATTTCATTACAACGTTATTAATATTAATTTAGTAAGGTGTAGAGGGGCACACACATCCTAAGTAAACACCTACAACTCTAATGCTCCTGAACTCACCACATGTATGGTAACGGCCATCTACCTTCATTAGACCTTATACCAACCGGGTGATTATCGACCAATATCAATATATCGGTACTGGCTGATATCTTTTCACATTTTTTGTCTAATCCAGCCTACTGGTCAAAACTGTTTTTTTCTACTGAGAATTTTTTTATTAAAAACCTGTTAAAACGCCCTTTCCGACCCCAGCCATCTGTATGTGAAAAAGAACCCGTCCCAGATGACTATTATTATTATGAATTACATCCAGTTTATACATTGCAAGCTATTATTTTCTATCTATTTGTTTTTGTTAAATATTTATTTATTTGTTTTTTGAATGGAACATTGCACATTAATCAACATGTGTCCATGTGAAAATGGCAGCTTAAAAGTGATACAGTAGGATTTTCCCAAATTTCAGGAAAGACCCGTCCTTTCCACTTTTTGAACAAAACTTCCTGGTCTTATGTGACGAGCACTTATCACCAGAATGATTGACAACTGGGAGGACCAATAGTCTTAATGATCCACCCGGAAGTAGAGAATCCTCCTTTATGCCTTTAAAGTCATGAAGGATAGTTTTCATCTGTAGTCCCATGGCAAGTTGATGTTACAGCCATCAACAAACAAACAGAGCAAAAGTTATTTAAAAGCCACATACAAACATAAAAAGCATCAAAAAGCATAAAAAATCAGGTTAGTAAAAGCAGAAACATAAAAACATAAGAGCATTGCACAAACATGGGACAAGGACAATAACAAGGACATCCATAAAAATGCACAAATGATTAGTCCACATTAAAATAAATAATTGCTTCAGACATTTATACAAAGTTCAGTGTTGAATCAATTTCACATTTTGACACCAATATTTTACCGCACATTAATATTGATAATATATTAGAGGTTATCCACATCCTTGACTGCAAATTACCGGTATAGGTATCGATCGACCCCTACTTTAAATGTTAATTTTATAAATGTGTTCAAAGTACATAATTCTACCAAAGTCAGCATGTTTTTGCTCAATGTGCTTTTAAACTGAAAATGGTAAATGAACTGAAGTAGTAAAGATGATCAGAGCAGGGGAGTGGGGTGCTAAATAAACCACAACAAAACACAATTCAAGATGTTTTTAGCTAATGAGTAGTAACAATCCGTCAGTAATTATTGGTTGATCAACTAAACCGACAGTCTGTTACCTCTGTACACTGAGTTTCTCCAGAAGGCTATGGGCCATTGTCCTGGTAGCACAGACCCCGCTCTCCGCCTGGTGTGGAGGGGTGCTGACCACTGCTGCGGTCTCCTTCCTTCTGACTGTGGAAGGCTTTCTTCTGTCTGAACTCCATTGGTCGACATGCAAAGCCTAAAATTGAGATCAGGGCTGAGAATCAATCTAATCATGTTTCATCACACAGTACTATAGGATGTAATTGACAGATTAGATAAACTGAAAAGGATCTCAAACTGGGACTCAAAGTGGCCCCATGAGACTTCAATGTCTTAAAAAAAAAAGAATGATTGAGTTTTCCTACCAAGCCAAAATAGAACAATCAACCCAATAGATACAATATTTGGAATCATCTAACTCAGGGGTGTCAAACAAAAAAAAGAAAGGGCTGGTCAAGGGCCAAAAAATAAGTGGGTTTCATTTATTACATTTTTTTGGAATATGAAGGTATCTATATAAATGACTTGTTTCACATTAGTTGGATTGGACATTCTTTTCTGATTAGAATTAGTTCAGTTACTGTGGAGTGAACCAGAACTGGACCAAATATTGAAAGGTATATAAAAGGATTTTCTACTTCCGGGTGAATCATCAAGACTATTGCTCCTCCCAACTGTCAATCATTCTGGTGTTTTGTACTCGTCAAATAAGACCAGAGAGTTTTGTAAAAAAAGTGGAGAGGGCAGTTCTTTCCAAAGAAAATTAGGAAATCCTCCTTCATACCTTTAAGAAGAAATGTAATTGAAGATCTTGAGAAAATTAGTAATGGATAACATGTCATCAATGCTGCTATTTAATATAATAATTTAGAATCATCTCAGGGGCCACTGGAAATGGTCTCGCGGGCTGGATCTGGCCCCAAGGCCTTGACCTGTGATCTAAATATTGCACATCACTTCTGAAGTAGTATAATAAAAAGAGAAAAAAAGAAATAAGATAAGGTAAACTTTATAGATCTCACAATGGAGAGAGTTACATGTTTTCCGTTTACATTTGGCATAAATAAAAAGACAGGAAATGTGCAACATAACAAAATTATTCATATTGTAAGTTTGATACTTTAGTATTGTTACACATTTGTCCAAGTACACCGTTATTATAATAGATCCATGAAGTACACTTACTTCTGGACATAAATGGACGCGTCCTCTTCTTGAACGTCCCAGCAGATGAAATCGTCCCAAAGCATAGAGCAGTGAACCAAAGGCTGGATCCTTCTCCCCTCCAGAAGCGCTAAAAACAGTGATCAAAGTTAGTGGACAACAGTGGACTGATCATAATGTGGACTTACCCGTTTCGAAACTCGGTGATGTAGATCTCCTTGAGTTTTTCTTTTTGTGTTATCGAAGATCGCTTTGTCTCTTTTAAATATTCAAAGAAATCTAAGCCAATCTGACATATCTGTTGCAGACTTTTCTTCACCATGATGAGGATTTCACCTGAAGCTGCTGCTCTCTTCCTTATCCAAAAGTCACAATGCCGATTGTTATGTCTGTAGTGCTAACCAAGGAATCCAAGTGTTTCGTTTCGCGCTGAGGAGGAGGTGCGTGACTGTGTTGACGTTCTCATCGGAAGAATCGAAACTTAACTTTTCACACGCATGACTCTGACATAACAGCAATAAAGCAGTTGGCGCCCAGGGGCCACACCTGTCTGATTCACTTCGATAAAACCACAGCAGTGAGACGCGTAGCCAGGAGTCCACACCGTCCCCACGGCGGAAAAGAGCTTGTCAGTAATTAGTTTAGTAATACGCATGACCGGGTTCCGTTTTAATGCACAATTTTGCCGCAAGAGGGCAGCAACGAACCACTAAAGGGGGGCACGCTTTATACGCTTTCAACAGTGTTGTATTTGTACAACAGTGTGTCACCTTTTTGGATCAGCTTCACACAGAAAAGTGTCAATGGATAAATCGTCATAGTGGCTCACAGGGGTCTTTCTTACAAGTATGAATAATAAATGTTGTGATATAAATATTGTATATTTTGTCATCTAATAAAATGAAGACAGAGTGTGGGTCTGTGTGCAAAGTATAATTCATTCTCATATTACAAAGTTAACCCTCTCAGGGCCCAATTCAATTTGAATGACAGGAAAAATATGATATTTGGTGAAAATCATCATATGGGCTGTTATATACAATTCTGACTTCTTTTGGGATGGACCATCACATTCAATGCATTTTGGAACCCAGAGGAGATATAATCTACAAATTGGCATGTACTGCATCTATATTAAATTAATCTTTAATTTAATGCAGTTTTGGTTTCAAATTCATAGAGGTTGGTAGTGATACCGACTTGTAATTGTCACCTAGAAAGTCTGTTTAGGTGAAACCAAGGAGACGTTTGGAGGTGAGACAGCTCTGCCCCCTGGTGAGCAGGTGGGAAACTGTGTGTTGCTAAAGCTCCAGCAGTAGTACTTCTGAATAAAAAAGGGTCAACAAATATGGATGTGGAGTAATTACGTAACAAGAAATTAAGTTGTTGCAATCTGCAATGCCTGCCTGGAGAGGGTTGAGAATGGAAATACTTGTGCTTTGGGTTGCAGTCTGTTTTGTTAAAGCAAAGGAAGGTTTCTCGACATTTTATTTTGCTAACTTCTGTTACATGTATATTTTTATGAAAAGATTTAAGTTCTCTTACTCAGGTGTTTTTACTGGAATGGTTGTTGGTATTTTATCATAAAATGTCTTGTTTGAATACTAATTTATATATTGAATATCTGTAAAATTGATTTAGACTAAAAATATGATTTAGACTAAAAATATGGTTGTAGCCTACGATACACATCCTTTTGATCTTGTCAGTACACTGCTGTATTGTTTACACCTTAAAACGTGATAATATAGAATCGTTTTTATTACAATTGAATCAATTCACAGAAGGAAATGCACAACACAAATAGAATTGTGAAGTGTGTGAAAAGTGTGAAAACGAAACCATGTACAGAACATGTTTTTTGATTACAAACAAATAAACATAGATGTGTGTCGTTATCTAAGTGCATGTGCATTTTAGAGTTTGATTAAATTAAATCAAACTCTATTTAAATTGTGCTACAAAAGTGCCATTATATTGTATAACCTAGACTATTGCGTGAGTCTGTCCACCTGCATCTACAGAAATCTGGTATTCAGTTTGGTGCAATTTGTTTTATCTTGATTTTTAACAGACAAACAGTCTATTAAAAATCATTATATGAACTCTCTAGGGGGCTGTTGATAGTAGTTCAGCTTGAACAGTGCCCACTGAGGGGAGCAGATGCTTATCAGAAGCCAGTGGGACAATATTAGTGTTTTTGGCAACTGCACATTTCGTAATGGGGTCTTCCTGTTGGTCTGACGCACAGGATCATTCGACACATGTTTCTCCCCATGTGTCCAGTTTGCCGTGACCTTTTAATACCATTCTGAACTTGTATAGATAACCTTTGATATATTCACTATAATGTATTTTGTACACATGACACAAGGTCACACCACTTTAGGAAAACTTTAATTGATATTGTGCAATTTACGGATTAGGTAAAGATTGGAAAATCCAGTAAAACCATTTAAACACAAAGTACATTTTGATTTTGGTTGACAAATGGCTTGTGTTTCAGTTAGATACTCCAGTTGTATTGTGTGAAAGTTTGCTTGACATATCCATGAAGATTTTACAGCTGTGTTTAGGAGGAACCATGTCTTCAGTTTTAGCGTTACATGAGCAGTGCATCACCTGCACCATATTAATGGTCTCCAGGTTGCAGTATATTCTTCAAATGTGTATTGGCAAATCACAGTAATCGAAAGAGCTGGAAGAGCAGAGGAGCTGTTGGTGCGCTGGCTGGGGAAGAGAAAGTGTTGTCAGGATACAGAGAGCAGCTGATTTATACAGGCCGGGATCAGAGGCAGCAAAGAGAGGGCCTAATTCGGACCAGTCTTTGCCTGAGGACAGTGAGAGCTTGGTGGTTTTGCCAATGCCTTGTTGATCAATCAATCAAACAAACAAACTACATTTATAAATTGCTGTTCATGATTAGTGCAGCACACAGTGCTTTACAGTTTATTAAAGATGACTTACTGTACTTACATCAACCATGTAACCCAACTGAGAAACTAGACAGAAAAACTACCAGTACTTAAGGCAAGGCAAGGCGAGTATTGTATAGCACAAATCATACACAAGGCAACTCAAAGTGCTGAACAAATCAAGATAGCATTAAAATAAATAATCACAGAACATTAAAAAGAAAGATGAAAATATAAAATCCCTCAGTTGTATGCACAGCTAAACAGAACTGTTTTTAACCTGGTTTTAAACATTGTCAGAGAGGAGGCCTGTCTCACATCTTCAGGAAGATTGTTCCAGATTTTAGCAGCATGAATCTGAAAAGCAGCCTCCCCATGTTTAGTTCTGACTCTGGGCACTAACAGGAGTCCAGTCCCTGTGCTCCTCAGAGTCCAGGCTGGTTCATATGGGACTAACATGTCACTAATATATTTTGGTGCGAGGCCATGGAGAGACTTGTACACAAGCAGAGCTGTTTTAAAGTCTATTCTTTAGACTGTATCTCTGAGCCACAGGAAGCCAGTGCAGAGACCTGATCTGATCTGAGTATCAACTGACCTGACGGTGGCATGTAGGGCTAAATACTGGACTCACAGAAATGATCATTATCTTAATTAAGAACCAAAACAGTGGAAAGAAAGAAGTATGCAGAATGTTTAGTGTGGCTGTAGAGTGAGATTGAATGGTGGAGAGGAGAGGAGTGGTTTGTATTTTTCTTCAGTTACATTTTTGTATTTGTGTTGTTCCTGCTCATTGTGGTTTTTGGTCTTGGTGTATTACCATATACTTTTAAAGGTAGTGCCCCACCTTGGGCACTACCGTTAGTTACTCTTACCTTCCTGGCCCTCTCCATCTCCTCTCTGAGCCCTTGGTATTTCTCAAGCTTCTCATGCCTTCTTTCTGACGTTACCATCGTTTGGAAAAGCCACATCCAACACTACGGCTTTACTTTGCCTGTTGTTCACCACCACAATGTCTCGTTGGTTCTCCATTATCATCTTGTCCGTGGGACCATGCGTAACTCGAAGTCCCACAGGATCTTCACACGCTTATTCTTTACACCTTTGGAGGTGTTTTGCCTGAATGGGAGATAAGCAAATACAAATGTGCAATGTATTACACTACACATGACAATAAACTTCTGTCAGACTTGTATTTGCAGATTTTTCATCCATAATATCATCCTCTTGGTGTGAATGGTACAGGGTAGTGTGCTCAAACAGACCCACAAGGAAGAGGTGGAGCTCTGGAAGTGGTTCGTCCTGAAGTCCTGGGCAATCTTTAGGAAATATCAGTTTTAATTGAATTTTCCACTGGCCCATTACCTAAATAAACCAGATCGGGGGTCCAAAAAGGCTGGAGACAGCTGGTTTACTAGATCACAACAAGGATGCATTCTCTATCCCTTGTTCTTCATATTGTGAATTTGTTATAACCACTTAATTTTATTTTTTTATTGTTTAATTCACCTGGACACAGCAGCAGCAGCAGCAGCCCACCCAGAGAAGCCAACATGAGGAGGGCAGATGTAGGCACGCACTCCAAAAGGTTGGTCTAAATAAGTCCCATCTGATCGCCCAGATCTCTGGACACGCCCCGAGCTCATCTTGTGAGCTTCTTTTTACTAATCTTCTCAAACTGCTTGACCATTGACCCCTCACTCCATACTTTTTCACATCTCATGCTTTTTTTTTTCCTTTTGTTCTGTTATGCAGATCTCAAGGGAGCAGGTAAAGTATAAATCCATAGCACTTCTGACATCTCACCGTCTCTGGTTCACATTTAGTCCAATGCCCTTCAATCAGTCACCCCTCCATAGTCCTCTCTTCTGGTCTTTTTACCCCTCTTCGAAACTTACTAGCTTATTCATTTAGTTTGTATTAGAACAGTTCATGTTTATCAATGTGTCAGCAAACAGCTAAATATGCTGCAATTAGCACAAGAGCTACAATTAATCCATGGAATTCCTGTAAATATATTTCACAGGAAAACTTCTATCATAATATCTGTAATAATATTCACTGATCCATCAGTTTTTACAAAAAACAGATGTTTTTATTGTAACTGTAGTTCAGTGAAGAGCTGTCAATATGTTTCTACCGCACTGCTTGTTTGAAGGGAATATGTACGCCACCTCCCAACCTGCGGTGCCATCTCACTGCTCAACACACCAATGTCCATGTCGATACAAATGTTGCTGTAAACATATTTCATAAATGAGGGCAAATAGCATGTATGACAACTTGTTTGATTTTATGGTAATATGTGGTGTGCATGAATTAAGCCATGAAACATCTGCACCAAACCACATTCAAAAAGGATCAAGGGGAATGAACTTCTTGAACTCTGTGGACCAAAGCTGGCAGT